CTCTGACTTATGGCGACCCTAAGGCAAACCTATCATGGGGAGTTTCTTGGCAAAAGTTGTTCAGAAAGGGTTTGCCACTGCCTTCTCTTAAGGCTGAGAGAGTGTGACTTGCCCAAAGTCACCCAGTGGGTTCCATGGCCAAGATGGGATTCGAACTCTTGCCTCCAGAGTCATAGTCCAATACTCAATCCATTATGCCACACTACCTCTCATCTTCAGATCTTTACCTGGGAGGAATATGTTTGGATTGACTTCTGAGTAGATATGACGAGGGTTGCATGGAGTGGAGCTCTGGCGCCACAGCAAACTACGCTTCCCAGAATTCCATAGCATGGACCCCTGGCCTTTAAAGCAGTGCCAAAATGGATTATTTTCACCATGCCGATGCGGCATTAGTGAGTATTTCTGGGATGGTAAGATTGGGCATAAGTGCTCAAAATCAGGGAGTAAATCCCATTGAGTTTGATAGAACTTTTTGCTGACTGAGCAGTCATGAATGGATTTGCCCCTTTAGAACAGATGGTTGATCTTAGCTTTCTTCTGCACAGCAACCAGGGTGGAAGAAGTGGCTGGCATTCGAGCGAAATTCCCAACAAAAGTCCCAGTAAGTATCCCTCCTTCTCTTTTCTTTCTTTGCTGATTACTGATACACGTGGGTTCTTTTTTCATATATATAAAGAAGAAAATGATAGCTGATTATTGACATATTTATTTAATTGGTAGCAACTACTTCTGAACTTAGTGGGACTTGCTGGCGGGAATTCTGCATCATGTTGTTGTTGTTGTGCACCTCCAACTCGTCTTTGATTTATGCAACCCTAAGATGAACCTATCATGGGGGTTTCTTGGCAAGTTTCTTCAAAGAGGGATTGCCATTGCCGTTCTCTGGGTCTGGGAGAGTGTGACTTGCCCAAGGTTACCCCATCTGTTTCCATGGCTGAGCCAGGATTTGAACCCTGTTCTCCAGAGTCATAGTCCAGTGCTCAAACCACTATATCATACCGGCTGTATCTGTACCACAATATCTGAGCATAAATCCCATTATGTTCAATGGGACTTGCTCCTGAGGATTGCACTGACAACGTAGTAAGCTTGGAAAAGTTACCTTTTTTAGACTAGACTTCTCAAAATTACTCAGCCAGCACAGTCTGTAGTCTTGCCATAGGCTAGCTGACTGGAGATTCTGGGAGTTGTAGTTCAAAAAGTAACTTTCCCTGGTTCTGAGGTATGCTTAGGATGGCTGCCCTAGTTTCTGAACACTAATGATATTGAGTAACGTGGTTTATTATCTCGCTGTAAAATATGTTTACTTTCTTGTTATAAAACAGGTAATTGTTGAAAGATACCAGAAAGAAAAGTACCTTCCACTGCTGGACAAAACAAAGTTCCTTGTACCTCAAGAGTTGACCATGACGCAGTTTATAACTATCATTAGGTATGTAGCAACCCATTGATAGGCTGTTAATCTTGTTGGCTGTCCATGCCTCTATGGAGTCTATTTTTGCTGCAGGGCTGCTGAAAGACTTTGGAGACTATGTGATAATACAAACTGTGTTACTCAGCACCTTTCTGCAACTTTCCCTATGCCTTGCAAATTTGTCCACTCATTGGCACAAGACGGGGGTGAGACCTCAGTGTTACATTAGTATAGTCTCACTACCTGTTCTTAATTCTATTTCAAGAATGTATTTGTTCTAAAAGGATTCCTACAGAACATAAAGGCAAGAGGTTTGTGGCTCCCTGATTTTTAGTATAAGGAGATCATCAGAAAGGCTTTAGATCTACTTTGGTCCTCAACCTAGATTTCCAAGATTTCTTTTTTACTCTGACAGCTCTTCCTGCTCAGTCTTCACTTTATGTTGGAAAGTTGATTCTTCATGATCTATTGGAAACTGCTTCTAAATTCCCTCAGCTTCCAAAACCAGCTTGATCTCTATCTTTGTGTGTACTGTATAGGACAGAAGCATACATTTTTGAGTTTTAACTCTAGCCCTATCGCTCCATTCTCTACGTCTCCATTCTCTAATTCTCTAGGCTGTTGTTAGATGCCAGATTTCTCTGTAAACCTTGCATCCAGTGGATATAAGGACATATAGTATAAAATCAAACTACAGAAGGATTTAATTCTTGTTCAGCTCTCCATGGTCACAGACTGCTTTGCCCAATGCCTATTAGAAAATACATTTTTACTGGAAAAGCTATGGCATCAACCCAGATTTCCCATCCAGTTCTGGTAAGCAAATTAAAAGAGTTAAAGGAAAACTATTCTGAATATGAAATATGAGATAACCCCTGCAGTTTTTTAGAGACTACATCTACACTGCACAATTATAGCTGTTTTATACAACTTTATGCTACCTCCATCCCATATAATATTTGGATTCGCATTTTAATATTCTCTGCCAGAGTGTCCAGATATTCCCCAGTACTATTACTCTCTAGCAGAGAAGTCTAAGTATATCACAAAACTATAGATCCCAGGATTCTATAGGATAGAGTCATGGCAGTTAAATGGAATCACAGTCTTGCAAATAGGAAGTGTACTCTTGGAAGCGTACTCTTGCCTCCACAGGAGGCATTTCTCATGTGGTTTCCCCACCAGAATTGTATAGGGTGTGTAGATGTTCATAGGAAGCCACTATGGTGCAGTGGTTGAGCACTGGAATATGATTCTGGGGACTAGAGTTTGAATCCCCACTCAGCCATGGAAACCCACTTGGTGACCTTGGGCAAATCACACACTCTCAGCCTCAGAGGAGAGCAAATGCACCCACTCTCCAAACAATCTTGCCAAGAACACCTGGTGATAGATAGATTGGAAACAACTTGAAGGCACATAACAAAATGTTCATTTCTTTTCCTTTTTTAAAAGCACTCCTATGCTTTCTCACTGTCTTTCTTTTCACAAAAATGAAATGGGACTGGGGGGTGGGTATGGCGGACAGAATGCCTGCATATTGACTGGTAATACTAAGAGCCTTCAGTCTGAAATTACTTTAGGAAGTAATAATTTCATGAAAAGAGAGCTATGTGCAGTGATGCTGCAATGCTTTGTAATTTACATATTACTAAGATGATGGTGGGTCACACATCTAGCATGCCATGATTGTGTGTTCAGCATACTAAGAGAGAGAAGTAATACCAGGCATGGCCCTGAGCTACAACCTCTCTACAAGGCTGGGATTAGCAAGTGTGCTGTATTTCAGCAATCTGCCCTTGATTCTAAGTGAATGGACTGACCCCTTCTGACTCAAGCACTGTTTGCCTTCTCCATTCATGCCTCTCTCTCTCTCTTTTTAAGGAGTGGAACACAAAGTCGAGTTCTACGATTTTTTAAAATCACTATTTTGTCTAAGCTTTGCACAAACAGAGCCCCAAATGAACACTCTACTTCCAGGATTTCCCCCCCCCCTGCAAGTTAGTACCTCAGTAACAAGGTACTTTTCTGAAATACTGTACTTTTCTCTTTGCAAACAAAGCAGTGTCACATTCTGCTATAATCCTACTGTTATTCTTCCATATTGTATTTTCTTCCAAAGACTGAATGTGTCTGTTTGCCATAATAGCCACTTCTTTGTTTCACTTGGATAAGTGGAAAGGGTAGTGATTTCATGGTTCCATGAAGTGAACTCTTGTGTAATGCACATGTTTATTATGTGTAAGTTGCTACCAACCTTTGGTGACACCATGAATTTCAAAGGATTTTCCTAGGCAAGGAATATTCATTGCCTTTCTTTGAAACATAGCCTATGTACAGTATCTGTTATTCCTTGGCTGTCTCCCATCCAAGTACTAGTATTCATACTTAAAACATCTTGGGTGTACATTTCAAACAGCACATGAAAACATTACATACTGTTGTTGCAGTTGCTATCTGCCAGCATAACAAATTACATTGTTCTGTTCTGCTATCCCTAGAAACTTAACAACCTGTCATGTTCACACCTCTGTCTTCCTGTCCTGGAACAGTAGGACTTTTGATTAGGTCTTTCTCTTATTCCCTAGGTCAGAGGTGGACAACTTGTAATCCTCTTGATAATTTGGGACTGTAAATTCCATCTGTCTAAACCAACATACTCAGTGGTGAAGGACCATGAGAAATGTAGTCCAATAACTTTTAGAGGGGGCACTAATTGGCCACACTGTCTCTAATTTTTTCTGCTAGTATAAACATAGGACATGGGATCTGAACTGTGTAGGCATTGAATTCAACACCTTGGCAAAATATAGCAGGCCATTTATTGTCCTGACTCCAATAAGCAAAGGTGGATCCAGCTTCATATCTTTGCTAAACTCTGAATCTGGAGGTCATTTTATGCATCTGATGTAACTATCTCAGTATAATAAATCATAGCTTGGTAGGTCAAGAACTACTCTTGTGCCTACTCTCTCCTATGTACTTTTCTCATGACAGTTACTGACTTCTGTAGTGTGTCAAACAATACCATTGGATCTGAACTGGACAACACAAATGGCTGAAGTTTAGACTGAAAACTAGGATCAAAGCCTTGTATAATTAACTGTTTTGTAGTCTAATATTTGTTTTTTTGTTTGTTTTTTATGCATAAGAAACTATGGTAGCAAATACTTAAAATTGTTCATTCTGGTACAAGACAGAAAGGAAGAGAGAACGAAAAGGGCATGTACACACAATAATCCATAATTTATTACATTATCATGAACTATTCTATAATATAGTGTCTAACCAGTGATTGTCGTACATTATCCTCTCAGAGCCACGGCAAATAATAGATCCTTGAAATGCATACTTGTGTAATACACATTTATTGTGTGTGTTTTTGCCTTCAGGTTGGTACCAACTTATGATGATGCCAGGAATTTCAAAAGATCTTCCTGGGCAAGGAATACTCATTGCCATTATCTGAAACACAGCCTACCTAACAGCACTTGATATCCCCTGGCTGTCTCCTATCCAAGTATTGTATTTGTACTTAAAACATCTTGGGTGCACATTTAAAGCAGTACACGAAAACAACCCTCATACATTGTCTTTGCATGAGTTGCCATCTGCCAGCCCAACCAGTGAGATAAGTAGAGCAATCCTACTGCATGTTTACTTGAGTCTTAGAAGAATTTAGTTTTAAGTCTTCTAAGACTTAGAAGTGAGTCTGCTGAGTTCAATAGAGCTTACTCCAAAGTAAGTGAGTTGCAGGTCAAAACACAACTTTGAGCATCATGGAGGGAGG